TAGGGTTTAGGGTTTAGGGTTTATTAGGGTTTACGCCTCAGCAACAAGTTGATCTTGAAATCTATTTTTAAGGAGGTAGACATTAGGGGTAATGGTTTATTAGGGTTTAGGGTTTAGGGTTTAGGGTTTATTAGGGTTTACGCCTCAGCAACAAGTTGATCTTGAAATCTATTTTTAAGGAGGTAGACAACGCCGCTGGTAGTCTCCCAGAGTTTAACATTTCCTGTCTCTCTTTCGTCATCCCAATGAAAGGTGCAGACCCATGCATGCATGTGTTTGTCGTGAAGAGAGCCTTTAAACAAACAAATGCATTTAATAATAATAATAATAATAATAATAATAATAATAATAATAATAATAATAATAATAATAATAATAATAAATAATAATAATAATAATAATAATAGTGCTGTTGATGTTGAATGCATGTGTTTGGCGTGAAGAGAATCTTTAGACTAGCATACGCATTTAATACTAATGCTGCTGCTGTTACTGCTGTTGCTGCTGCTGCTGTTGCTGCTGCTGCTGTTGCTGCTGCTGCTGTTGCTGCTGCTGCTGTTGCTGCTGCTGTTGATGTTGCATGCAAGTGTTTGTCGTGTAATGTGCCGATAAGCGCATACACACACAATGAATAAAGTTGCTGCTGCTGCTGTTGCTGCTGCTGCTGCTGTTGCTGCTGCTGCTGCTGTTGCTGCTGCTGCTGCTGCTGATGTTGCTGTTGGTGATGCTGTTTCTGGTGGCGTGCTGCTGCTCCTGCTGCTGTTGCTGCTGTTGCATGTGCTGTACCGTGTGCTTTAGCATCCTTTACTGCATCAGCAGCAGCAGCTTTCATTATAGCAAACAGAAGCAGCAACAGCAGTATCCGCAGCATCAGCAGCACCCACAACAGCAGCAGCATCAGGAGCAGCAATAGCAGCACTAGCGGAAACATTAGCAGCATCATCAGCAGCAGCCTCAACAGCAGCAGCAGCAGCAGCAGCCTCATCAGCAGCAGCAGCAGCAGCAGCAGCAGCAGCAGCAGCAGCAGCAGCAGCAGCTGACGTGCGACAAGCGTCGGTAGGAACTGCGACTCCATTCGTTGGTCGAGGACTTCCAACAAAAAGTAGCGAGGAGAACCGACAAAAATATCTTCATCTAATAACTTCTTTGCTTCTATTACCTCATTAAACAGAGACTGCAGCATGTACAAAACAATACTTAAACCCTAAACCCTAAATCCTAAACCCTAAACCTTCACACATTCTCTAACAGGCACCTTGCGCCTCAAGAAAATGCAACCACCTAACCCTAAACCCTAAACCCCAAACCCCAAACCCTATACCCTAAACCCTTAACCCAAACCCTAAACCCTAAACCCTAAACCCTAAACCCTAAACCCTAAACCCTAAACCCTAAACCTTGTACCTTCAGCGTGTCGTATTTGCTCGCCAAGGCCCTGGGCATATTATTTTTGGTATCAAACCGCTCCGCCTGCGGTAGCCTGAGCAACAAACGCCGTAAACCCTAAACCCTAAACCCTAAACCCTAGCTCTTACAGCTCTATACCCTTGAAAACGCAACCTTAAACTCTACTCCATAAGCCTTCTAACTGGAGATACTAAACCCTAAACCCTAAACCGTCGAAAGTGAAACCCCAACCCCTAAACCCTAAACCCTAAACCCTAAGCCCTAAACCCTAAGCCCTAAACCCTAAGCCCTAAGCCCTACTTTTCAAGGTCAGAAGCATCTAATAGGTCTGGGCATGTCCAAGCCTCAAAAGAGAGATTTGAAGGTCTATCGTCTTTATGAATAAATGAAAGCCGCTTCGTGCCTGAGAAAACCCTAGCTTCATATTTTGTCTTCATGTTCGTCTCCCTATAAACAACAAAAAGACAAACAAAAAAAAGATATACAATAATATCAAAACAATAATAATAATAATAATAATAATAATAATAATAATAATAATAATAATAATAATAATAATAATAATGTCTTCATGCAATAGATAAAAACTACGGTTTAGGGTTTAGGGTTTAGGGTTTAGGGTTTAGCTGCATAGGTATATCCCTAAAAGAGAGACAGTGCGTTATGTGCTGTGCACAATAATAATAATAATAAATAATAATAATAATAAATAATAATAATTAAAATAATAAATAATAATAATACTGAAAATAAAAATAATAACAATACTAATAGATAATAAAATAATCGTCATAATAAACAACTTGAATACAAATAATAAATATTTTATTAATATATAAAAATATTTTATATCAAATATAAAAAATAACAAAGAGATAATTAATGCATTATGCGATTTGTTGTTTTGTATGAATACATCAAATATTAATATAAAATATTTATTATTAGGCGCATTATTATTATTAGTTTTTATTTATATTATTTTGTTTATTATTATTATTTTACTAATTATTATTATTTTATTAATTATCATTATTGTTTTATCTATTTTTATTATTTTATTTATTATTATATAATTATTATTATTATATTTTAAATTATTATTAGTATACGCATACATACACACACAAACACATTCATACTTCAGGTGTACACGCAGCTCAGACAGAGACGAAACGCATGCAATATCAACAGACAAACAAAAAGAGTGCAAAGACAAACAATTAAAACATCAAACTCAATTAACTGCATGCATCCTTCAATCCATGCATGCATGCATAAATGCATGCATAGATGCAGCAGCAGCATTAACGGTATTAAATGAATACACATACACATTAATATATATACATATATACATATATATGCATATATACAAGTACATATACATATATATATATATATATATACATATATATATATGCATATACATATATATATATGCATATACATATATATATATATATATGCATATACATATATATATTTATATAACTATAAATATATAAAT